AAGTTATCAAAATTAATCTAAAAACAATGCAATTACTGGAATTTCAGTGGATTTTTTTTTGGAATTACTGGAATTTTTGGTGAATATTTTGGCCTGAAAACCATTTTATACAACTTGTACAATAAATAATAATTAATAAATATTTAGCGAAAATAAATTCTGATTTCCGTTAAATCTAAGCAAAAGTTGAACTTTTTGCACACCAATTTTTAAATATTAAAACCTAAATTGCCCCAAGAGAGGCCACTAAGCGAGTAATAATGATTTTAGAGACCAATAAATGTGCCGTTGTAAAAGAAAAAACATTACAGCGTCATAAAAAATTTATTAAACAGATCGTATCGCAAATAACTCGATCAGTTTACTACACAATAATAACAAACCGTCGAAAAATTCGAAATATTCGAGATAACGAAAAAAATAAGTTTCACCATTTTTCCCCATAATCCAGTGCCGGCTTCCTGCACTTCCTCAACGAATGATGAGTCACGCGAAGTGGGTTGAAGCCCCAACCTCTGTTTTCCTCACACAAATCAGCTGTTGATCGCGAATCGCGCTCGCTGTCTTCAGTTTCGCGTGTGGCCCCGCTTGGGCGAGTACGGGCCTGGATTTTTCGAAAATTTCGCGAGTGCTGGTGCAGTGACGATTTTTGGATACTTCAACAAGGGTTTCAAGACGAAGGCAAGTCCCAATTTTACAATAAAAAAAGAGAAAATTTTTGGTAATAGAAAGTTAGAAAGTGATTTGAAAAGGGTCTCGAGAAGAATAATTTGAATAGAGTGCCACACAGGGTGTTTTTTTTTTAAAACCCGGTTTATTGATACTTTGCACTTAGTCGATGTTTGCGCAAAGTCTGGGCAAATAAATTAAACGAAAAATAAAATTTAAATGGAATTTGCCAACTTTCCCGTCACGATTACACCAAAATCAACACTGCTGTCTTAAAACAGCGAACTGGGATTTCAGCTGAAAAGTGGAATTTTTTTCAGTTTCAGTGCATTTTCGCTGATAACAAGTCGTTAAACTTGTTTTTTAAAGGTCAAGGATGATTTTTGAAACTAATTAAGCCAATTTTGGGACGTTTTTTAATAAGTCGCACCAGATACATATTGGTTGAATTAATTAGGAGAATTAGCATAAAAATTTTTCGATCTTGCGTAATGAATTGTTATTTTTTCCCCCAAAATCGCGTCATTAAACTGTGTTACCTTGAAAATGGACTTGGTAAAAATTCCATAAATATTCCCAACAGCGAGCGTACTAAATTCGCTAAATTAGCCGTTCCATTCAACAGTTCAGTTCTATTGGCGTAATCACAATAAGAGGTGGTTATTGAATTATGGACGATGTGCTAATGGGGTCATTGTGACTGATAGTGTGATAAATGACGGGTTTTGAGTCCTTGCAACTTATGCAAAAATTTTGATATGATACTTTTTTGCTACCTTGTTTGACAACACATCTTTCGAATTTTGTAATTTTCTCAGAGAAAAATGCTCTAAATTTATTAAAATAAGGAGAAATTACACCTTTTAGGCTTTGTTTTGTTATTTGGGAATTTTTTTTTAATTGGATTCTTGGTCTATTAGAGTTTAACCAAAGTTTGTAATAAAATATTTTATAATTTAATAATTTGATTTTTTTCAAGTAGGTACCAAAAAAAAAACAGAAAACGAAAATAATTAATAATAATAAAAAATAACATAAATCGCAAAAATTCTAAATTAATTGAAATACTTCAGCCACAACTCTTTTGACAGTATTGTTTCGAATTTTGTAATTTTCTCAAAGGAAAATGCTCGAAATTCATTGAAATAAGCATCAGAAATAACACATTTCAGGTTTATTTTGGACAACATAACTTTCGAATTTTGTAATTTGAGATAATAACAACATTTTTTTTTGAGTTTCTCATTTAGAAGCTGAATTTGTTTTTTTTCTTTTGTTTTTGAGAATTTTTTTCTGTTTTCGACTCAAAAACAAGCTATACC